GGTTTTCAGGCATTCGTGGATGCTTTTGGTGAGCCACGGGAGCTTTTGAGCACTCTCGTTCCCTTTGGTCCACATGGGGATTGTCATGCTTTGGGCTTGTTTTTGACAAAAGATAATTTCTACAAAAGAAATCGTTTTATATCACTGTGAAAGAATCAATCATTTGTTCTAGCATTAACTTGTCTTGAGGGATGCACACCAGCTAATGAAAACAGATATTTTGCCAATTCGCACAGGATCACCTTCATTTTCTTATGCCAAAACTTACGAAACAAAATAATTTACGTCACACAACTCTAAGCATACTTACATTCCATCTTCCCTTCACAGCCATACATGATGTATAGTCTAACAATTTCACTGTGCGATTTTAACTATGACATGCAGTTCATTTCATAACAGAAAGAAGAAAACTGACAGGGAAATGCAGTTAAGTTACATTCAAAACTCTGTAGCTGATCCTCAATTAGCACTTTTCTCGGGAACTTTTAATTGCTTAGTCATTCATAAAATCTATTTTTTTTAAAGATTTTAAATTCCAAAACGAGCTACAAGTGGGGGTTTTTTTGCTGCAAAAGACTACCCTGTGTTGGGGTGCAGATTCTATATGGCCTATTCCACATCCATATAACTGAAAAATAGAATATGATCTTTTTAAGAGTCACAACAATTGAAATAACTGGCTGAAATCATGTTGAAGTTCCTAGGAAAAAGGAACTTGATCAAAGGACAGCAGGGTAGGTCCTATGAGGAAAGGTTGCGGGACCTGAACCTGTTCAGCCTTCAAAAGAGAAGGCTGAGGGGGGATCTTGTGGCCTGTTATAAACTGGTTAGGGGGGAAACCAGCAGGCGCTGGGGGAGTCCCTGTTCCCCCAAGTGCCGCAAGGAGTGACCAGGAACAACGGTCACAAGCTGGCGGAGGGAAGGTTTAAGTTGGACATCAGGAGGCGCTACTTCATGGTCAGGGCGGCTAGAGTCTGGAACCAGCTTCCAAGTGAGGTGGTGCAGGCTCCCACCCTGGGGGTTTTTAAGAGGAGGTTGGATGACCACCTTACTGGGGTCATTTGACCCCAGTGCTCTTCCTGCCATGGCAGGGGGTCGGACTAGATGATCTGCTCAGGTCCCTTCCGACCCTAGAAACTATGAAAACTATGAAACTTGAATTTTAAGTTAAATAAATATCCATGCTGCACAAGATGGTATTATTTTGAAATCACGCCATTTTTGGAAAAGGATGCATCTTATATGGTAGTAAAAGTTATTCCCCTCAAAAATCCTCCAACAAACCAAAACCTTCTCAAATAAAATGGGAAATAAATGGAGAAAGGGGAAAGTTTGAACACAGAAAACAGAGGACTGATCTACAGGTAGTTTTAACATTTCAGTAATTACATCTGCTTAGATAAAAATCTGGTTCAAGTGGCATTAATTCCATCCTTCCTCTCAGTATGGATGTAGCTGTACTTTTATAAATGTACTTATGTTTGTATCAATAAAGATGAAAGCTGCTTATGTAAGTGCAGGTATTTTTATAAAATACATAAAATGTGCTGCACTTGGCTAGGCACATTACCTATATCATTTTCTAAGCAGATATAGTTATAGCACAAAAACATGTGTTTAAAAAAAACATTAGTACATAATCTTGTTAGCACATGAATTGTGGGGGAGGGGAGTAGGGGAAGATATATGTATTTTTCTGAAGTCACAGATTCACACAGAAGTTTAGGGTGGAAGGGACCTCATGAGATCATCTGGTCCAGCCCCCCTGCTCCAGGCAGGAAAGATTGTTGGGGTCAAATAAAGCGTTTCTGTCACTCATCAAATGAGGTGTCAGGATGCAGGGGTCAGGACTCCATTAATATCCCTCCCGCTCCAGAATGAGAGGCCCGTTATGCTTCTTCAGTGCCTTGTAGACCCAGTCCTTGCACACCTGAGCCCAGCCTAGCAGCAGCTGGTACAGCTGGCACATCTGGTCCAAAGTGCCCTGGGATCCTCCCCAGGAAGAAAATGCTACTTAGCACTAATGACTGGGAAATGGACTGCCCATAATGGCCACCTCCTGTCGACCCAGTGCAGCATTTCATTGAAAGGTTCCAATCCGTCCTGTTCCAAAGGACAACGGAGATGAAAGGCATGTTTTTGTACAACCGAAACCTATACAAGGCTCATTCCTTTTCTTCTCTCTCATTGCTGAGATCAGCCTCAAGCTGGTTTACACCCCTAGCTGGTAAGTACTTCATTAGTTTCTTTTTTAAGAACCTTAAGGTACCTGACCTTAAAGTAATAACACACGCCAACAGCCTGTAAAGCACTACTGTAAACCTTCAGTTCCCAGACGAATACACTTCTATTACACACTTCAACGCATACACCCATGTGCACACACACAGCAGTAAGTTAAGAGAAAAGTACATCCTGGGGCATATGGCAAAGCCTAGTGAATCAGAGAAGAAAAAATATCTTCTATCTTATCTTTTTAGTCATTGACTCAGCAAGTGGGACTCAATTTAAAAGTACAAGAGAAAACAATCAAAGCAAGGCTTACAATTACAGCTACCGTGGCTGATTACTTTTTCTAATGAAAGAGACAGATGCCTTATTTTCACTTTTAGTTTTACAGAAAAAATTACCAATTAGTTAAAATCATCTTCAAGAGAATTCAAACAAAAATTTATGCAATGTAAGGAGTTACTACATATTTAAAATAATGTCACTGACTAAAGGCTGGCATACACCACAAACTTAACAGGCTATGACACACTGAAACATACCACACTGCTCCACATATGCTATCTCCTTACGCAACAGAAACACACTTGCACAGTTTTGCTGGTGGGATACCTATTTCTCACTCAGCAATGGATTAACAGTCTCAGCAGTCCTAATTAGCCCACCTATAGCACTATACAAATGAACCATCGCTACATCCAACTGGAAGGTAGTACATGCAAAGCTTAACATGTTTAAGCATTCCACTGCCTGCCTGGCATGGTATGTTTGCAGTGCAGACTTGTCCTAGGTCCCTGATACACATTACACTTAAGATGCTATTAACAGGTAAATCACTTTTTAAGTAATAATGTGGCCATACATTCAGTTAGTTAATGCTGCGATAAAGCAGGGGATGAGCTACAAAGTTATTACACATATTTGTATAATAATTTTGTGGCTGGTTCCCACTCCATCTTACATTCAATGTGTGACCAAAGCTCCAAAGGGCTCCTGAGGCTGGGAGCACTGATCAGCTAACTGGGACTCCCAGCTTCAGGAGTGCATGGAGATCTTGAAGTGTTGTGGTGAACTCCTAAAGCTGGGAGCACCCATCAGCTAACTGATGCTCTGAGTCAGACACCCAGATTGTTAATTGGTGGTGCAAAGGGAGTATGGGATCATCTCCTGTCAGTCACATGTAGCACGGCAGGAGGAATGACTCTTAGGTTTGCAGACGAGATCTCATCACACCTTTAACTGTACACCTGCCAGAGGCCAAGGTTTCTCAATGGATGCCTTTGAACTTTACTCAAGTTAAACATATAGAAAACACACTGAGGGCTATCATAAAAGAAAGGCCATCACTTCACTTTCAGCTGCAGTTAACAAGAGGATATACTTTAGATACCCAAGGAGATACAGTTGAAAAAAAAGTGACCTTACCTCTCGGGGTCAAACACACTGTTGTCTGCCACCATGGCCTTTAACACATCCACATTTGCTGCAAATAGCACAAACAGAAAATATCAGAAGAAATGTGTTGCCCTGGCTTTAATCTATCATATTATTGATTGAATAAAAAGGGGGCATACTAAATATTTTAGTTTTGATAAAGAGTCTAATGCTTAACAGATATGCATTTACTACAGGCTCACTAGCAGAAAACTGCTGCGTTTAATAACTCCAAATTTAGCTCCATCTAGAAAGAAAAGCTTTCCGTTACAGACTAAAAAAGCAAAAAGTAAGGTATGCAAAGAAATTCTTACGAAATATAGTTTTATTTCAAGACTCAGATACTTACCTTTGAAACTGTAAAGTTATCATTTCTTATGGGACTCAAAATTCTGACAAAGCAACTTTTCTGGTTTTGGTTATTTGAAAGCTTACATTAAGCAACAGACACAACTACCACTACTAATTGCTATCTACTAAGCACTCCCAGGCCATAAACTCATACTAATTAATTTTTAACCCACCAGCTGGATTGCAGAGGTAAAATATGCAATTTTTCTTTTTAACAGTGTACTACTACAAATGAATTAAAATCTAGGAATGGAAGACTTATCCCTATTGCAGCTAGCTCCAAACTCTGGAGAAAAATTCTAAGCAATTACTAAACTTTCTTTTCAGGGTGTTTATGACTATACTGAAAGTAGGTAAAGCAGCTTTCAGTATTGTAAAGAAAAATCTGGTTTCATACATGTAGGCCAGGGCTTTTTAACCAGCAATCCAAGGGGTCAACTCACAGCCCATGGAAGCTAAATCAGTGCGACTGTCACAGATACTGCCTTGGCATGGTTCTGTTCACTCTGCCAGCTCCTTGTCTGCCACCAAATTTGGGATCTTTAGTCACGGCTCAAGACTAAACTCCGCGGCAAAGGAAAAATGGGGGACATGAGGAGAGATGAACGGCAGCTACATTCAACTCCTGAGTTCTGGAGCTGTATCAAATCAGTGGCTCCAGTAGCTGCACCAGCGAGTCATCATCCTGCCACTGGAGTTTGGTCACCCAACTCACAAGAAACCCCACAGTCCAGATGTGACCCACAAGGCCAAATAAGCCGGAGATATTTGATACAGCTCTCAGGGCACCCCCAAAAGACACCTTGCCTCTGCATTGTTTTTGACATATTTTGAGAGCTGTGCAGCTATAGTGCACACTGAATCTGGTGTGTGCTGGTGTCTAGACATTAAGGGCAGTGTTACAGATCCACAGAAGTTTAGAGCTGGACAGGACCTCGTAAGATATCAGGTCCAGCCCCCCTGCTCTGGACAGAAAAGACTGCTGGGGTCAAATAACCCCAACAAGGTATGCAACTAGCATGTATTAGAATTTCCACTGGGAAAACTGTCAAAGTACTAAGGGACTGTTCAATACAGTAGAGCTACTCCCTGAATAAGGAGAAACACAACTGTCTTGAAAACCCATGCAATTTCAGCTGCAAGTTGATTCGCAGGGGAGATTTAATCAATGGAGCAAGTTAGTACCACAGTCCTAATTCCATGTCCCTGCTGTTCTCCTACTCCTGCTTAACTGCATGTCAAGCAACAAGCCAGCACATAAATAAAATGCATGCAAGTCTACATTTCATTATCCTGTTAACATTTTCCAATCAACTCTTACTGCACGCACCTTTAACATTGGGTTTTTCCCCTTCTAACTGTCATTTCTAAACCATCCAAAATCCAAGTATTTGACCTTACTACAGATTAAGTTAATAGCAAATGTTTCACTTCTAAGTCATTTGAATATAAAAAACGGGACTAGAGAAAACAAGGACTTGAATCGCTATTCATCTAGCCCTCTGTTTGGCCAGACAGGCTTTGAACTAATGTCAGACGCCTGGTTAGCTGCTCAGAAATGTTTCTCTTCCCTCCCAATCTTTTGTTATATCCTATTTCTCCCCCACCCTTCTCTGTGAAGATACCACCCTCATTAAGCAAACAGAAGCATTTGCTATCCTACTTTCCAAACTCGGCAAAAAGCTTTCTACTAGTGCTCAGGTTTGGCTGAAGAAATCTGTCCCGCCATTCATCTCAGTGTAAAGCCATTCATCTCAGTGTAAAGGGAAAACTCAAACTTTTGGGGTGTATTTCAATGCTAACATTAAATAAGCAAGCAAATTCTCATGTCATTTAAATATAACACAAGGAAATAAGCAACTTGTGCAAAGAAACTAAAGTGAAGAACGAAAAAAATGTCAAGGAACACAGGAGTCATGGTTCCTATAGGAAACTTCCCAGAAGGAAAAAGGACAAATTAATTTGAGATGAAATGCGAAAGTTTGGCTTTAAAATGCAATTTGAGAAAGTTAAGTAGGCACAAACAAGGAGTATGATAGAAATTACAGAATGTGAGCTATGAGTGCCAACAAAATAACATTGAAACACTTGAAAAACATCATGGTATCACAGAATCATAACTTTAAGACAACACTACACACTGATTTTAATCGGTACCTTCATTTTTCATAATATAGTTGACAATTTGTCCAACAGTGTCACTATTTTCATGTCCAGTTTCATTCATTTCTGAGAGAGAAAATAAGAACTCAGTCAATATTATATCAGCCTAAAAACATTTTCATGAAGATACAAAAAACACTAAAATATTTCAATAAAAAAGAACTCTGCAAAAAGAGCAAATAAAGAGTCATTTTTATTTTATTTTGACAAATCCTGCTGTCTCTATTCAGGTGTAAAACTAAAGCTTCAAAGCTGAGCCTGTAATCTCCATACATTAAGAATTTTAGCTGAACCCTTTAAAAAGCTCAATATTTAATAAACTTTGAAACACCTTCCTCTTCATCTCAATGTTGTATGAACTGAAGTCTTCGCAGAAAAAACAAAAGAGCAGATGTGGAAATTAAGTTACTATGTACTAGCTACCAGAATAGTTTTGAGGCAAATTGATGGAGTTGTCAAGAAGCCCGCTTAGCAAATAGTTTGGTTACCAGATTTCAGTGTCCGAACCGTCAGTTCAGCACCTTTCACTAAAACTAGTGAATAACAGAAGAGCACTTCCAACCCCAAGCTTTGGAAAAAGGTAAGACTAACTTCAAAACCATTTAAATAAAATTAAACTTCGTAGTATTTGTCCTCTTGTGGTTGAAGGCTTAGAAATCATATTTTCAGGATTTTTCAGAACACTAGGATTTAGTAAAATGAAAACCAAGATTCTCAACTGAAAGCATCACAGCAGGATACAGGGCTTTAAGGTACTTAAAGCCCTGTATCCTGCTGTGCCCTTCATGCTCTTAAGAGAGAGGCTTGAAAAAACAAAAGATAGGGTCGTA